CTCTGCATTGCAATCTCAGACGCGCTTCCCCGCGAAGAAGACGAAAAACAAGGAATTGTTAAGCGGAAAGGACTCGGCGGGTGCAGAAAGAATCGCAATTGGAAGCTGAAATCGGAAGAAATGGAGGTTCCGGCGAGGGCAGAGCGAATTTCCGGCGAGGTGAGGCTCGCCGGCGGTCGCTCTCTGGTTAGGAGAGGAAAAACGGACAAAGCAACAACAACAGAGGTTTTTTTTTTTAGTCTTCTGACAGAGAAAGAGAAAGAGAAAGGAAAAGGGTGTTAGTTGGCTTTGAAATGCAAACAAACAAACAATTTTTTATTTTAAAAAATATTTTTAAATAAAAAACTACAATTGAGGAGGGAGAATAAATAGGCGCAGAGATAGTGTGGGTTGTAATAATAACAAGATTAAAACATTTTTTTCTCTTTCACACTGAAAATTAACAAGCTCAAATATCTTTTTATATTCCACGCAACTCTGTGTTTTGTGCTTAAGATGGAAAATTAGGTTTGTAAATTCTAGTCAAATTTTATGCAACTTTTTTTTATACTAATTTACCTCATTCACTTAAAGATTTCTTTAAAAAAAATTTAGTTGATCACTTTTAAAAAATTCTGTCACCCCTCTCAATCAAGTATTATTTTTTAATTTGTCAATACTGTATTATTTTTTATCAAAAATAATTTTATTTGATCTACAAGCTGTAAATACAAAATTATTTTATTGTTATATTTACCTTTTCAGTATAATTTTTGATACAAAATTATTTTATTGTTATATTTACCATTTCAGTATATTTTTTAAAAAAAATCATAAATGCTTTCTTTCATGATGATGATTGGTCAAACCCCAAGCGTGTGGTTCAGCGGTAGGGGTTGATCCACGCTTAAGCAAGGTCAGGGGTTCGAATCCTGCCTTGTGTATGCAGCCGCGTTAAATCTTGGGGCCAGCTATCCCACCCTTTGAGGTGCCTTCAACCTAGCGAGGAGATTAGTCATTGTCGGCCCTGGATACTCCAGGGACGAACCAAAAAAAATGATGATGATTGGTCAACAATAAACAAATTGTTTCATTTACTCTATAATAGTTTAATTTATATGTACTGGATGTGAAAAATATTTTATATTGTTACTTAGTAAGAAATTATTATCAAATTAAAATATTTTTTTAGTTTTTATAATTTTACTTATTTTTGTTTTAGTTTTTGTAATTTAAAATAAATATTTTTAGTTTATATACTTTTTTTAATCTTTTTTAATCTTATAGTTTAAAATAGTTTTTTTAAGTCTCTATACATTTGTAATTTTTAGTTCTTCTAACCCTTATTGTTAATTTCTTTTTGTTAGATTGTTATTTTGTGTTGGCGTAATTGAAATCTTTAATTTTGTTAAGGTAAAATAAAAAGTTTCTCAACAACGAACGTGGCACGTAAGAGTTCAAAATACGAAGCATTAAAATAATTAATTTGAAGTAAATTCAGTAAAAATAAATTCAATATCAAACACACGAAATTCAATTAATAGATCTATCACATCATTATATAAAAAACGTGACAAGAATATTAATGGTTAAAAAATTATAAATATAAGAACTAAAAACATATATTTTAAATGTAAAAGAAGTAAAATTATAGAAACTAAAAAAATATTTTAACCTTATTTTTATAAAATATAACAAAAAAATCTCGCAATTAGTAAAAAATTTATTCTAAAAATAACAACTTTCAGGATAGGATAATAATTTAATAATATTATTATATATATAATATATATATATATATATATATATATATATATATATATTCCCACAAACATATAGAGGTCAAATTTGTTATATTCAAATGATGAAACTATTTTTCACAACAACATTAAACAATTTCTTTTACTATTATTGTTTGAATATCAATTAATATAATATAATAATAATAATAATAATAATAATAAAATGTGGATAGACACAAGTGATTAAGGATTTTATCTAAATTTTTACCTTCTCCATGAATGTGTATTCGAATTTTCTTAACACTATTTTTTTTACATTTGGTGGACAACTCTCTCCGATAAGATTTCACGAATCCTATGAATTAGTTGTAAAACTTCAATTAAACAGAACTATTTGTGATTTCGACTTGTACAATAATCTTTTAAAAATTAATTATCTATACGCTGTTAGTGTAAAAATTTTTATACTAGTAATTAATCATATCTTTTAAATTATTTTATTTTACTTTTATTTGATTAAATGAGCAAATGACATGACATTATTAAGAAATATGATTGGTTGTCAGTGTAAAAAAACTTTACACTAACAGTGTATAGATGATTAACTCATCTTTTAAATGAAGCTTTTAACATGTGATTAGTCTCACTTGATAGTATTGAATGCATTTTCTCATTTTATCAATTTACCATCCAAAAAATTATATTTAATTACCAAAATAGTTGAACTAATTGATAAAATAATTAAATTACTTAATAATGTTTAATTTTCTAGTTGCCCATAAAGAAAAAAAATGTTGAAAAAGATAAAATTGATTTTGATAATATATTGATATAGAAAGAAAGTAGTCTTTGACTATCACTTTAAGAATATCATTGATAAAAAAAATTAATTTTCTAAAGATGTGAAATAAAAATTAAAAAAACATAAAATAATTATTATTTTCTATTTAATTTTTAAAGTCCATAGTATTTTTTTTTGTTCTATTAATAAAGACGTGCTTTTAATACTAAAAATAAAGGGTCTTTTTGTTTAAAAAAAAAGCATATAATTATGTATAATAAAATTTTTTTTTTTTTTGTTTTTAATGTATTTATGTACATTGTATTTTTAAAATAAATAATTTTTTTTTGGGTTAAATGTGTTTTTATTCTAAAGTATAAAATTGTGGGATTTTAGTCCCTAAAATTTTATTGACCAATTTTGATCCTCAAATATTGCACTTATGTAAGTACTTTATGGTTTGAGACTTTGACAAGTCTCTTAATAAAAATTAATAGTTTTTTTTTTCTTCATATACATTGATATTCTCTTTCTCATTCCAGTTATTGACATGGAAAAGATTGAAGAAAATTATAGATCCAATTAAATATATATATATATATATATATATATATAATCTCCTAGTTTCTATTTTTCCTTTTTGAAAATTGTAATATATGAATAATAAATACAAATAATTTAATGCATGAATAAAAATTATAAAATATGTAATTTGAATATGTCCAAAATTGTATAATTGAGGCACTTGAGAAACTAAAATTGTATAATTACAATACTTAAAGAATTAAAATTACTTAATTAAAATTTGGGGATCAAAATTGAATAATTGTGACACTAAAGGACTATAATTGGTCGATTAAAATTTTAGAGACTTAAATCACATAATTATAATACTAGAGAGATAAAAAACAATTAAACCTTTTTATTTTTCAAAGAAACAATTTTTATCTATTTTTAAAAATAAAAATTTAAATAAAACAGATCCAAAATAAAATAAAACTTGTGCATCACAAAATGTCAAGATATATAAAAGTTTTATGCATGTGACAAAATAATGTTGATATACATGTTTAAAATAAATTATCTTGTTGATCATTTGTTTAAACTCAAAATGAAAATAATAAATATTAGTGTATGGTTTTTAAGCAATTTTATATAAGTAAAAGATTTTTTTTTTTTATTGGTTGTAATTACAAAGTTTAACTACAATTTTCGTCTCTCAAGTATAGTTATGTAATTTTAGTCTTTCAAATTTTAATTGAATAATTTTAGTTTTTTAAATATTATAATTATGTAATTTTGCTTTCTTAATTTTTAATTGAGTAATTTTAGTCTTTCAAATACTGCAATTATATGATTTTATTCTCTCAAATATGACAAATATACAAATTTGTACCTGTTTAAGTTACATGTATTAGTAATTTTAGAAATAAAAAATATATCAATTAATACATTAATGAAAGTTATAATATATAACATAAATAGGTAAAAAAAACTTATATAATTATAATACTTGAGGAATTAAAATAAGTTAATTAAAATTTGGAGACCAAAATTACACAATTATAATACTTATTGAAGAACTAAAATTACTCTATTGAAATTTTAAAAATCAAAATCGCATAATTATAATAATTGAGAGACAAAAATGCAGTTTAATTACAAAATAACATTTTTTAAACATCATCTCTTTAACCTTTTTTTAACAAACAATTCAAAGTTATTTTAAAAAAAAGTACTTTTTCTCTTTTTTACTACTTTTAATTATTCAAAATAAAAAAAAAAAATTACTGAATTTTCTAAAATGTCAATAAGTATTTTCAAAAATTTTAAAAACATGTTTACTTTCTTTGGAAGACAATCGACTTTTGTATTAAAAAAAAACCTTTTGTACTAATTGTTGTATTTATTTAAGTGTGATCTATTAAATTACAAAATATAATTAAGCATGTATGTAATAAATTATTTTCACTTCCTACTGAATATCTCTTAAATTACTAGTCCAAAACTAAAATAAACTTAAGATTTTTTTAATGAAAAAAAGTTATTGAAAATTAAATTTATTTATTATTTTTTAAATTAATTACTAGATACATTTCTTTCTTATATTTAAGTAAAGTTGCATTTAATTATTTTAAAATTAAATTTAATAATACTTTTGATTTTATTTATTAAATTGTATTTGATTTTTTTAAAATCTTATCTCTAAGGAAAAGTGAATTACTATTTTGTAATAAAAGCTACTCTTGTAGAGTTACA